CGTCAAGTACGTTTCAAATCGATTATAAACTGTTAAATATATATTCCGTTAATTCCGTTAACTTGACAAACACGTTTATTCAACAAATATGAACTGTAATTGTTTATTTCTATGAATTGAACTGAGAATTCTACTTTCGTTTTTGACTTGATATTAATATTGCCTTGAACGTTCATATATTTCTTTCGTGCATATTGTAAAATATTGTATTTTTATTTCTTTCAGTTTACCAAACAATACACACTCTGTAAAAACTCCTGTATCCCTTCTGGTGGAATTATAATCTACAATCTTCACGCACAAGTTGTTATTCTTTATAATTTGCCGAGATTGCGATACAATCACATGGTTATACTAGCTGAGTCAGGCTCAGCATAGTAAATTGACGACAACCTGTCTTTGCATATCCAGATAAGGAACGACTACGTAGCAACGTAAATACCTTTACACTGACAGTGGACTACATAACTTGTGTGTAATAGGCAGCAACCCAACAACGTTGAGTCACCATGGATCACAGTCACGTGGAACAGCAAGAAGAGGTTCAGCCCAAAGAGGGAGATGTCCCTGAACTATTAGAAAATCCGTCTAATACAACACATTCAGATGAAAATCCCGAGACTAGGCGAGTACGTGACCTCACGGTAAAGGAAAAGGAGCTTTCACAGAAAAACGTGACAAGTTCTGTCAGGAACAAGAGGCTCTCTGGACAGACATTGAATCCCAGTTATTGGAAGTCACCACGCCTCCTAACGAGCTCCAGCAACTCCTAACAGCCCAGGACAAACTCGTTAAAGCCTGTAATAATTATCGTAGGCTCACAGATGAATTCCTGGACTTTCTGAAAAGGACCAGAACATCGGAGAGTCAAAAAGAAATAGAAGCATGTAATCTCTCATTGGATTTTCGTCTGTCCAAAGTGGAACTGGTTATGGAAAAACTACACGAGCATCGCCTCGCCCTAACAAAGGCCAAATCCACTAAAACAAAGACCTCAAAGGGTAAGAAAACCTCACACAGCGGTAGCTCTAACGTGTCAGACATGTCAAGCCTAGCACGGAGAAAGCGTGCCAAGGCAGAGGCTGCCAAGTCTAAAATAGCCTTTGTCGAAAAACATGCCCTTATCCTACATCAGGAGGCAATGTTAGAGGAACAAGCCCTGTTCAGACAAATTGAAATGGAACAGGAAGCAGCACGCAAAAAGGCTGAAATGGAACAGGAAGCCACACGTAAAAAGGCAGAAATGGAGCAAGAAGTCGCTCAACGTAAAGTTCAACTAGAACAGGAAGCCGCTCACAGAAAAGTGCAATTAGCACAAGAGGCCATGCGCAGGAAGGCTCAAATGCAACAAGAAGCCGCACGAGTAAGCCTGGAAAAGGCCGAGCTGAAAGCCAAATTTAACCTTCTTGAAGCACAGAGAGAAGCTGCAACCGCAGAAGTAGAGGCTCGTATCCTGGAATACGACGACAGCCAAGCATTTAGCGATCTCCCTGATGAAACGGAAGACCCTCTCCAGCGTGTGAAAGACTTCGTCAATAAGCATCCTGTACCAACTGCTGTACGGGAAGTAACAGGACCTCAAAAGATAAAGCGAATGCCTGTTAAGTTTGAGCTGAGTCATGAAGCACCAGCGTTTGTGCCATTCGTGGCACTGAACTTGCCGTCACAGACATCTGCTGTCTTGCCTTCCGATACTAACTCACCGGAAGTTACCTTAATCCCAGATCTGGGAATAGTAACCGGCATACAAAAACTAGGCCTTTCAGATGAGATCCCTGCTGAACACCAAAAACAGGGTATTAAAGAAGAGATCCCTGTCGCACACCAGCAACAAATCAACCCTACATCGGAGATAACTAGATTTCTCTTGCGTAAGGACCTGCTTTTCTCCCGACTTACAAGCTTTAACGATCGGGCAGAATCCTTTCATACATGGAAAGCAAGTTTTAAGAACGTGACTGACGAGTTGCAAGTCTCTGACTCGGAACAGATTGATTTACTGATCAAGTGGCTCGGTCCAGAGTCTGCTAAACATGCCATTAGCATAAGAGCGTCGAACGCCAATAATCCTACAAAAGGTATACAAAGACTATGGAAGAGGCTTGACGAGCGGTATGGTGCTCCAGAAATGTTGGAGGCCTCACTCACGAGTAAACTTGCCAAATTCCCAACCTTGACGGATAAGGACAACGCACGTCTCTATGAACTGTCTGACATTCTATCAGAAATAGAATATCACAAGGAAAATCCCAAGCTGGGATGTCTGCTAGCTTATTTTGATTCACCGTCCGGAATAAACCCTGTCATTGAAAAACTACCATATGGACTTCAGGAAAAGTGGATTACAAGGGCGTCTAGATACAAATCTAACCACGGCGTTGCCTTTCCTCCTTTTACAGAGTTATCTGCATTCATCAGTGAAATCAGCAGAATTAAAAATGATCTTGGATTCATATTTGGGTCAAAAGTCACACCAAATACAAAAGGTGCTGCGCCAAGGTTCACGTCTTACCCCAAGACTAAAGTTGGTACTCATAAAACAGCGGTTGAGCAGCAATCTGGAGACGCCAGCAAACAAGGTCTTTGTATTCTGCACAATACAAAGCATTCCTTAAATAAATGTCGAGCGTTCCGAGCCAAATCAATAGAGGAACGCAAAGGTCTTTTGAAAGAAAACAATGTCTGTTACAAGTGTTGTGATTCTACCAAACACAGGAGCCGGGAATGCAATGCACGCATAAGTTGTAAAGAATGTGGAAGTAAACAACCCACTGCCGCACTTCACATAACTAGACCACAGCAACCTGCAAGTTCTCATTCTAGCTCGCCCAAGGAAGCCTTCGGCGGGGAGCCAACAGAATCCGCTGAAACTAAGTCAACCTCAGTGAACTCTACCTGTACTGAGATCTGCAAGGATACATATAGCGGGAAATCTTGTGCTAAAATACTACCTGTGAATGTTTATCACAAAAATAACCAGGACAAAGTTATCCGGATGTACGCCATTATTGACGACCAAAGCAACCGGTCACTATCATCGCCTGAATTCTTCAACCTTTTCGACGTAAAAGACAAACCGGAGAACTATACCTTATCAACATGCTCCGGCAGAGTAGTCACTTCCGGGAAAAGAGGAAGAGGTTTCGTCATGGAATCAATAAATGGCAATGACAAATTTGACCTGCCTGTACTGATAGAATGTGATCATATTCCTAATAATAGGGACGAAATACCGACTCCTGAAGTCGCAATGCATCACCCTCATTTAAAAGAACTCAGAGGTAGCATTCCACCAATAGAGGAAAATTGCCAAATTCTTCTCTTAATTGGCAGAGACCTTATAGAGGCACACCACGTCCTGGATCAGCGCATAGGACCACCCAGAACTTCATATGCACAACAGTTGAAACTGGGTTGGGTAGTGATAGGAGAAACTTGCATTAACAAGCAGCATGTGCCTCTTGAATTGAATGTCAAAATAACCAACATTTTACCTACAGGACAACCGTCAACGTTTCAACCATGTACAAGCAAATTCGACATTCGGGAAAACTACACAGACCCCGTTAAGAAGGATTTACAATCGCCTCTCTTTGAAAAAACTAGGGACGATGATAAACCCGGAATGTCATTTGAAGACAAAATGTTCATGAAACAGATGGACAACGAATTTGTCAGAGACTCGGAAGGAAGTTGGGTAGCACCGTTACCGTTCCGAGTGCCAAGACAGTCTTTGCCTAGCAACAGACAACAAGCTCTTCATCGTGCTAATATGTTAGACGCAAACCTGAATAGAAACCTACTAAAGCGGGAACACTTCCTCACATTTATGAGTAAGATCCTAGACAATAATCATGCAGAGCTCGCTCCACCGTTGGACGAACATGAAGAGTGCTGGTATTTACCATTGTTGGGTGTTTATCACCCGAAGAAACCCGATCATATTAGGGGTGTGTTTGATTCATCCGCCAAATGTAACGGAGTTTCACTCAACAGCGTCCTGCTAACAGGTCCAGACTTGACCAATGATCTCTTGGGAGTACTGCTGCGTTTCAGGAAAGATATGGTCGCAGTAACTGCAGACGTTCAACACATGTTTCACTGCTTTGTAGTAAGAAAAGACCACCGAAATTATCTGAGATTTTTATGGCATAAAAACAACGACCTACAAGAGAACCTTGTCGAATTCCGCATGAGTGTTCATGTTTTTGGAAATAGTCCGTCACCTGCCGTTGCTACGCTTGGACTCAGAAAAGCAGCTCAGGCATCAGAACAAGAGTTCGGCAGTCACGTGACTAGCTTTGTTACAAGAGACTTCTATGTCGACGACGGTCTTACATCATGTCCTACAAAAGAGGAAGCTGTTAAGCTCATGAAGGACACACAGCAAGCATTGGCAAGGTATGGAAACTTACGGCTTCACAAGTTCGCCTCTAATTGTGCGGAAGTTATGTCTGCGTTTCATGCCAGTGATTTGGCTTCAAATCTAAAGGATCTAGACTTAGAATCCGACAGCAAACCCATACAACGTAGTCTTGGGCTCAGCTGGGACGTAAACACTGACAACTTCTTATTTCAATTATCATCAGAAAACAAACCGATCACTCGGAGAGGAATTTTATCAACGATAAACAGTCTCTACGATCCTCTGGGATTTTTGGCTCCGGTGATTATACAAGGGAAACTCCTATTAAGGAAAATAGTATCAGAAACCGTAGATTGGGACCAACCTCTGAGTGGAAATCTTGGAGAGATACTCTAATTGCTATCGAAACATTGCGCATCCCACGCACCTACGTGCCATATCTCAGCAAAACCGCCACAAAGGAGTTACATGTTTTCTCTGATGCATCAGAAAAAGCCATAGCAGCTGTTGCATATCTACGCACGACCGACAGTAGTTGTGAACCAAACATAGGTTTCATTCTTGGGAAAGCTTAAGTTGCACCAACAAGTGGTCATACTATTCCACGACTTGAACTATCAGCAGCTGTATTAGCAGTTGAGATCACCCAAACCGTCATGGATAATTTAGATTTACATATAGACACCGTAAAATTCTACACAGACAGTAAAGTGGTTTTAGGTTACATCAGTAACGAGACAAGAAGGTTCTTTATCTACGTCGCCAATAGAGTAGAGAAAATAAGGAAATTTAGCTCTCCAAGTCAATGGAATTATGTACCAACTAACCGTAATCCCGCAGACTCGGGAACAAGGTCCGTACCAGCCCATGAAATTCATAGCAGTGAATTGTTATTGGGACCAAAACAACTTCTTTCCTCAGAACAGAAGAATTCTGTGGACATATATCAGCTAATAGATCCAGAAGAAGATGGAGAAATCCGTGCAACTGTGAATGTTGCAAAAACATTTGCCACACCTGAGTATAAAGGTATAGGAACTGATAGATTCAACCGATTCTCCAACTGGACATCACTTGTGCGAGCGATAGCCTTTTTGGAACGTTTCTCCCGTTTACACGGGTCAAAACAGGCATCATCAGTGACTTCTTTGGATAGTTTTTCGAATGCCGAACATTTCATCTTAATATCTGCTCAACATGAAGTTTATGGAGATGAAATAGATTGTATAAAACGTCAGGAACAAATTAATAAGCGAAGCCCGATAGCTAACCTCAAACCGTTTTTGGACGAAAGAGGACTATTACGAGTAGGAGGCCGCATTGTCAAATCTGACTTAAACTTCCGTGAAAAGAAACCATTGATCGTCCCTGGACGCCATCATATAGCGACATTATTAGTTCGACACTACCACGACAAGATAAAACATCAAGGTCGCCATTTCACAGATGGAGCGATTCGATCCGCAGGATTTTGGATCGTTGGAGCAAAACGCTTGATCTCTTCTATTATTCACAAATGTGTAACATGCCGCAAACTCAGAGGAAAAACCGAGTATGAAATCATGTCTGATTTGCCAGAGGACCGTCTCGAACCGTCACCTCCGTTTACTAACGTTGGAATAGACACCTTTGGACCCTGGACAATTGTTTCACGTAAAACACGTGGTGGATACGCCAACTCTAAACGTTGGGCAATTTTATTCACATGCTTAGTGACAAGAGCTATTCACATCGAATTAATCGAGGAAATGAGTTCTTCAGTCTTCATAAACGCCGTCAGGAGATTCGCCGCTATAAGAGGCCAAGTTAAGATTTTCCGATCTGACCGTGGAACGAACTTTATTGGCGCAATCGACGATTTAAAGATTGACTCAATCAACGTTGAAGATGAACCCTTCAAGAACTTTCTGTATAATTCTGGTACAACTTGGATCTTCAATCCGCCGCATTCGTCCCACATGGGTGGAGCCTGGGAGAGGATGATTGGTATTACCAGGAGAATTCTTGATTCTATGCTTCTAAACGCTGCCGGAAGAAGCCTAACACATGATGTGCTCAACACACTAATGGCAGAAGTTTCAGCAATAGTGAACTCTAGACCTCTGGTACCGGTATCAACAGATCCAGAGAATCCGTTAATATTAACTCCGGCTATGTTATTGACACAGAAAACCGACTACATTTTCCTTTCAGATCATCTTGGAGAATTCGACAAACGAGATCTCTGTCTTGCCGAAAGGAGGCGAGTACAGGCTCTGGTCAGTGTTTTCTCGTCCCGTTGGAGGAAAGAGTACCTGCCGTTACTACAACAACGACGAAAATGGACCGAAGATCGCCGTGATCTCATCGAAAGAGACGTCATTCTTCTAAAGGATAAAAACCTTTGCCGTACCCAATGGCCCGTTGGAATTATAGTGAATTCATTTAAAAGTTCAGACGAACATGTCCGAAAAGCAGAAGTGCGAGTAATCGTTAATGGAAAAGCCACAACCTACACACGTCCTATCGTGGACATTCACCTATGTTATATTTTATGGAATAGTGATATCAGATAGATTTCAGACGGGGAGTATTCTATCATCACGTTTTCAATTGTATTTGCTACGGCATATATTGGATTGAATTTTCAGACATTCATATTTTCCGGAAATGATCTGGACTTTTTCGTATGTTCACTACCGTTTACTTTCTCTTCCTCGCCTGTCTATTACAAATGGATGCCACGACAAAACTGCTCCTGTGGATATTGTGACAAATCACCGTCAAGTACGTTTCAAATCGATTATAAACTGTTAAATATATATTCCGTTAATTCCGTTAACTTGACAAACGCGTTTATTCAACAAATATGAACTGTAATTGTTTATTTCTATGAATTGAACTGAGAATTCTACTTTCGTTTTTGACTTGATATTAATATTGCCTTGAACGTTCATATATTTCTTTCGTGCATATTGTAAAATATTGTATTTTTATTTCTTTCAGTTTACCAAACAATACACACTCTGTAAAAACTCCTGTATCCCTTCTGGTGGAATTATAATCTACAATCTTCACACACAAGTTGTTATTCTTTATAATTTGCCGAGATTGCGATACAATCACATGGTTATACTAGCTGAGTCAGGCTCAGCATATTCAGCAAACACAATATCATGATCAGATAGGCCGGGAATAACTTCAACACGCTGTACTTGGTTTGGTAAGTTTGTAATTATCAGATCAAGAATATTGTCTTTACGTGTAGGGACATCAACAATTTGGTTGAGACATGTGTCGTCAAGTGAGTTGCCAAAGAAGTAATGAAGGTGTGGGTAATTAGTGTTTGGTTTTAGTGATCTGTTGTTCCAATTCCAACCAGGGAGATTAAAGTCTCCCCCTATAATAAGCGTGGAATTTTTTATTTGTGTGGCTTTTCTTATCATTAAGTCAAAGTTTTTGAAACTAGTTTCGTCAGATGTTTTTGGATTGTAGAAAGAGCTTAAGTACAATGTTTTCGAACCAACAATGTCTACTTTTGCCCAGACCATTTCTGTTTTGTCCGGGGGTGCAAGCTCATATACCTCAGAGCTAATAAGTTCTTTCTTTATAGCTATAAGAACACCACCCCCTTCTTTGTCTGTTTCTGTCTTCTTTCTGTCATTTCTGTACAATTTGAAATTGTCAGGAAATATTTCGACATCTTTTATTTTTGGGTTTAGCCAAGTTTCTGTGCCAAATATTATGTCAGGCTTTGTGCTGTCAATGATGTTATTTACTAGGTGTTGCTTGTTTTTAATTGACTGAAAGTTGATATTAAGTACTCTCAAAGGCTTTTTAAAGGATGACACCCGAGTTTTTTTACGTATGGGTGTAGATGCATGAAGAGGCTTGATGTTTTGATTCTGATAATCTGGACTTGATGGAGAATTTGAGTGATTGATGTCACCAATATAAAGGCTTGCAAATGGATTCGGTGAGTCAAGACTATGTAGATCAAAAAGTACCGTGCTGTAGTTTGGTTTGTCACAGATAATGCAGTGCCAGCTTATCATGCTGTCATTAAGATCTTCGTAACTTTTTGAGTGGATACCTTGGCAATTGATATGAAACCACTGATCACATGTCTCACATACAATGCCTTTGTGGTCCCAGATTGACTGATCACAAGTACCACATAAATATTTTGTGCTGTCGTTACTAGGGCCAGGATTCGTCTGGATATCATTCGACTTTACGATCATGAGTAAGAGGAAAAATAAGAGCATTTTAGATGGTTTTAATTTTGTCCATCTAGGATCTTGCTTTGCCATCTTGTATATGGTGTTCTGAATACTAAGACAAACATGCATGTTATGAAGGTATTTAAGATTGGATGTTATTTCAAACATGAATGATCAACTACAATGAAACTGATTATGTAGGTTCTCAATAACTACACAGGTGACTGTATTCATATGCGTCATAGCAGTGTTTCTGTTAATGCCGTTGGTCGAAATTGAACACTCGTTTACATTTGGTATTTTCTCATTTTCAACTACATTTGGATGTTTTTTTTCTATAAATATAGTAACTATGATAACAACGTAGTACAAGATTGTCAACATGTTCATGGTGTAATACAAGTGACTTACCGGTATGTGATGGACCTGGACCGGTGCTCTGGACTCGGGCTTTGTAGTGTTATGGGCCGATGAATAGTTATCTTCTGTCCCTATTGCTGACCTAGGGCTCGGATGATAGAATAATGAGCAATGTTAGTGTGCAACTATGATATTTCAGTGCAAGGTGTCAAAAAAATGATGATGGGTCAGTCTGTGGACTGTTTTTGTTTACACCGGAAGTCAATGAAAACACAATTATAAACAACAAATCATGTGACAATTTCGGCGGTAAATTTTGAGGACACTTTGATATTCTACAAATAGTCAAAATGTATTTTTTTGTAAGACTGAGCTATGAAATCAATAGTAGAAATACTTCTAAATGTTCTATTCGGTTCAAATTGTGAAAAATGATCAATTAAACAACGAAATTCGAGAATTTTTCTCGGAGCTCAGAACAGCTGATCTAGACTTGACGCATGCGCCTCCTCTCTTCCTTTTATGTTTTAATTCTGTTGTTTTATAATTGTATATAACAGTCTCTCATAGTTCTTTTAAGAATGGCACATGCATTCTAAATTTTTATATTGTGTACTTGATATTATAATGTGTTTATACTTGTATGTATGTGGTGAGACTTTAATAAACTATTGAATCTGAATCTGAAAACAACTCACTTTGACCTGTATTTCACTTACCTTATTTTATATATTAAATTGATCATGATATTATTTCACAATTAAGATCTGTGAAATTACTTCTGGTTTTGTTTCATATGTTTTCATGATATTTGTCTTTTAAAAGAATGATGTTTACTTTAATATTATTTTCAATTATAATCTGTGAAATTATTTCCCATTATAATACATTTATTTGGTTTTTTATTTACTAATTTAGCTTATATTCAAATACACTAAAAATTATTAGTACATAGTATTTGCAAAAATTAAGTTTTTTTTTTATTAACTATTCAATATTTTAACTTCCCAGATAGAATTTCACGGCAATGGATAATATATCACAGTGAAATATTTTCCTCCGGATAAAAAAATAACAACAGCTTCTGTAACATCCCCCCCCCAGGATGATATTTCATCCGGATAGAATTTTGCTTTACATAAACATTGCGCACGCATTGTCATCAATATTTACCTTGACGATTAAGAAAACAGCTGATTGACCAACTATTAGAAACGGTTGATAAGCACAGGCTACTTTACGGTGATTAGAAATCCAAGTTGACAAAATCTGAAGGGGTGATTAAAAGTCGTCAATGAATAAATGAATCAAATTAACATACTGTGTTTTGTCTTATTTCTATCACAATGCCCAAGCGGGAAAGACGTTTGAAGGAAGAATTAAAAAAATGCAAAGAAACAAACAGAAGTTTGAATGACTTCTTTAGTATAACGTGAGTGTTTTTGAAAATATTTTATTAACGATCCTATTCAAATTCAATGTTTAAAATAATGATCAAGTATAATATAAAGATTTTAAAATACTTATTAAATAAAGGGAAAACAAATGAAAAAACCAAATTATATATTTTCCTCAAAATTTTCCATCTTAACAAAAAATTAAATGATAGTTAATACATTTTCAGAAATCATCCTGGAAGTGATCAAATTAATGAAACTGATAATGAAAGTCCAGATAAAAATACCCTTAAAAGGAAACAACCCAACAGTCCCACCACATCATATGAAACCCCTAGTAAAAGACATAGGCACAATAGTGGACATCGGGTATTGTTTGATCCCAAATGGCAGCATGGAAGACCATGGCTAAAGTATATTGATGATAAAATGATTTGTACATTATGTAAAAAACATAGTAAACTAGGAACATGGAGCTCTTCAGGGTGTGTAACCTTAAGAATTGACAAAATAAAAGAGCATGAACACTGTACTGAACACTGTACTGAACACTTAATGTCAGTAAACAAAGAATCTGAAGAACATAATGCAGACAAGTGTAATATAAAACTTTAAAATGACTCACATAATGCCATTCAAGATGCTTTGAAGGTACTTTATTACCTAATAGAACACAATTTTTCACTCGACTTATTTTCCAGTCTTGTTGATTTAAATATAGAACTTGGTTCATATAATTTAGCCAATCTACGATTAGCCAAAAATGCTAAGTATACAAGTTGGGATATAGTTACAGAACTCTTGCAACTACTCAGTGATGAAGTTCGAGAAAATCTATTAAAAGAAATGAGAAAAAGCCCCACTTACTCAATAATGGTCGATGAAGTAATGGACATTACATCTCATAAACACCTTGCAATTTGTGCTAGGTATATAGATTCATAATGTAACATTAAAAATGCCTTTATTAGTGACCCACTGATAAATGATGGACGTGCTCAAACAATCATTGACAAAATTAAACAGGAACTAGATTCTGCTGACTTGCCTATTTCCAAAATGTCAGCGTTTGTTCTGATGGAGCGTCAGTTTTAACTGGGGAAAAAACGGTGTATGGGCAAAACTCAAGGAAGTTAATCCGTCCTTAATAGCTAATCACTGCAAAGACCATAGGCTAGCCCTTGCATGTAGGGATTCCTACAAATCAGTGAAGGTAATTAAGCGCCTTGACGACACTCTTGAAAACCTACATAAGTATTATAAATATAGCTGTAACCATACAAAAACTTTGGAGGATGTCCAGAAGGCACTTGGAGACCCATGTCTGAAGATGAAAAAGGCCAAGCATCATCGATGGTTGAGTCACGGTCAAGCTGTCACGTCTAGACTTACCTCATACAGATATGAATACATTATTTAGATATATAACAAATTTTATTGTGACACATTAAAAATGGTTTGTTATCAATAATAGGTTAATTGTAAGCAAGCACAACAAACAAAAGATTAAATATTGTTGAAACATTTTTTGAATGTATACAGTACAAATATATTTTTGGTATAAAACCCTGGCTGGTTTAGAACATTATTTTTTATGTCTGTTTACAGGGCAATTATTATAGATTTGGAATCCAATACCATTAGTGGGGATCCAGTTGGAAATGGGCTGCTAAAGAACCTGAAAGACCCCTATATCATGTTTACACTTCTGTTACTTGGTGATGTGTTGCAACAGATGACCACTATGTCACTCTTCTTTCAGCGTAGAGATGTACATTTGGGTAAGTTAATGAGCATTTGATACACATGTCATACAAAATTAATCATTTGTTAAAGAATTTGATACACATAATATTTTGTTATTTTTTATTGTAGGTATGGTGAAAACCATGGTTGATAAGACTGTTTCCTTCTTGAACAAAAAGAAACATGCCAAATATGATGGTCCATGGATGACAAAACTTAACACTTTAGCTGAAGAATGTAAAGTTGACATCACACAAATGCAAAACTTTGATACATCTGTGAGGGAACCATTTCTGACAGATCAACATTGAAACAAAGTATATACAGCGCGTTGGATATAGTGCAGGCGAT